CACACACACACACACACACACACACACATACATACATACACAAAAAACACACACATACATACACAAACACACATAAATCTTTTGTACACCCTCCCCTCCCCCAAAAAGAAAAAAGACAACAACAAACAAACAAAGCAAAAATAATAATATACCATCAAACAAACAACTAATCAAAGTGCTGCAGAGGTAGCCCTGGCTTTGTAATGATGCTTACGTTCTGCGTCAAGAAGGACGCTGATCTCTTTCAAGAACCCCCCCTCCTCTTCGCTCAGACAAAGAACTAAAAAATTTTCCTTGGCGTTGGGCTTTCAACCAATCAATCTTTGCGCTCAAAAACACCCATTAAACGTTCCAGCGATTTCCCGCGTCTTCCGAGGAAATCTGAGAGCTTCAGACGGTTATCAATTCCAACGCAATTAAAGTGCAGCAATGCATGAGTGCAAAGAACATTTAAGCCAAGAAATTTCTTTCTTCCTTTACGTAAGAGGAGCAGAAAAGCGGTTTGGTTATTGGTGAAAACGCATAATGCACAAAACATTCATTTATTGTCTTGTGTTTGCACAGAATTATCGCAATAACGGATCAATACCAGGACAAGTTTTCCTGTAAGCCTCTTATACGATAATGGCCTCGTCCACTTTATTCAAAAATGTGCGTCATCGTAGTGAAATAAGACGCTCGTCAAAGTAATGAAATCAAAGAAACTGACATTTTCCCGCTAGTGGGGCAATTTTCTTTTTTCCCTCTAAATCTCAACACTATTGTCCATTTAAGAACACGTTTCTGTGTTGACTTTATTGAAAACGTTAATGAAAAGCACAGAAAATGTAAATTTACAGTTTCTAAGGACAATCAAACCATTTTCTTGCAAATTTTACCTCTGACACCAGGAGGCCCCCTACCTCTTTCCCTCGCATATCATGTTTCGACTTCTATTCAGGATAGATGAGTATTGTATTTTTCAAAAGCACAACAAAATGAACAAGCTTTTTAATGTGATACTAATAACTCAATATGCGCAAAAATTGACGAGCGCCCGATTCCATCATGTTTTGACACAAATCGTTCATAGCTTTTGTTGGTTCCAATATTATATTATTTTACCAGCGTCTGCGGTGTGATGATTAGGCGCATTACATACCAGTGACTGCAAAAAGGCGTGAATTCGATAATATCCGAGCGTGAAAGTGCATTCTATCAAGTGTTTCCATTTTTCTGCTACAACGCTGTATCCCGTCTATCGCGAGGGATCCGGACAGGTGTGGTCAAAGCCAAAGTGACCTTCCTCCTAAATGTACAACACGAGCATTTACCCTTGTATCAATTGTAAGCCGTCAACGACAGAAGAATCAGTAGCATCAACTAAAACAATAACCTACAAAAAACATGAAAACAAGAAGAAGAAGAAGAAGAAGAAGAAGAAGAAGAAGAAGAAGAAGAAGAAGAAGAAGAAGAAGAAGAAGAAGAACAACAA